TAATCTGTGGTAATACACAGGATATCAGGATTTTAGTTAGCAGGAATAAATGATACATGTTTCAATTTAATCAAAATACGGATAGCTTTGTTTTAATTTTCAATGTTTTAGTGCACTTTTATTTCAAATAAAACCATTCGCTATTGGGCTGCCTATGATTTTTTGAATGGGCCGATGCTGGACCCGCGCTGTTGACTTTTAAGAACGTTTCAAAAATGACGAGTTTGTAATCTGATTGGCTGTCACAACAGCGAGAACAAAAAACAGCCAATGAGATAACAAATAATTCGTCATTTTCAAACGTTCTCAAAAGTCAACAGCGCGGGTCCAGCATCGCCGGCCATTCAAAAAATGAGTAAAATATCAAAAACCTTTCGCTCCATTTTTATCGCTTCCATAACTTATTTTAATTATTAAAATATAGTCAGTGTATGATAAAATTATCGTACATTTCATTTCTTTTGTTATTTTAGCTTAGTTTTAGGGATAAATTGACGTACTTTCGACTATTTGCATGTGTCCATGTGAATATTGTGATTGAAGTTGCCTAGCTACCTATATATTATACTATATAATAGCTAACTACATTGCCTTGTCAGACACGTATGGTGGCCTAGCAATGCCATTAGAAATATCTGTTAACAATTTATTATTTTGGATGAAAACAAATTAAAAATGATTTTAAAAAAATAAATAAATAAAACTAATAATTACTTAAAATTATTTTCAATTTTTTTCTTTCAAATTGAAATGAAACAAAAAAAATCAATATGGTCTACAATTGCAACATCTTTTTTAAAAAAATTTAAAAAGAATAATTAGCTATGGCCTATGAGTGCAATAGACCATAATCTAATGTTGGCTTGAGGGAGAGGTAATCAGGGGAAACATGGCGGCCGAACGCATCATGGAAGAATGACCTCGCGCTTAAAGACGATTCGCGGAGCATGTAAAACTAAACTGGCGGGAAAAGGAGATACTGGACTTCATTCGCACAAAGTATCCCATCTATGCATGGAGCGAGCGGACTTCATTCCGCAGAGTACAATAAATGTAAATGTTGATGCTGTAGAGGGGGCAGTAAGTAGAGAATTAGAGGGCCCTGGGCAACTTCTCAGGTATTACGCGGTGATGAGGAATTTATGCCCTCAAGCATTAGAAGCTAGAAGAGGCGTTGAAAAAGTAAAGTGACCCGAGAGGAATAATGCTTTTGTGACAGGGGTATGTATTTTGTTAAAATTGAAACGTTGACTGAAGCATAAATTGCTAAATATAATAATTAATATATTTCTTTTTTGATCTGAAAATCAATAGGGATCAGATTGTACTATGTCCTTGGACGGTCATGATAAGCTGTGCGGCTATCAGAATTCTACATTTCCGCTTTGCATATATGGTGGACACGACACATACAGTGCTCGAATAAATTTTTTAATAATTTGGACAACAAACAGCAATCCAAAAATAATTGGAAAATTTTACATGGACTATCTCTGTGAAAGAAGAAGTACCTCATGTATAATTGTCTAAACCAAAGGGAAAATTACATGCATTTATCTGAAACTCTGGTATTCCTAGCCTTGCATATGTCACATGATAGGAATTGATCCTTTCTGACTATCATAATTAGCTTTAATAATAATTAAATAATTAGTCTTCTCCAAAACAATGATTATAATAAATGGGGTTGGAATATGAACAATGAACACTCTTCCTTAGACTGCCAGTTAATAATGACTCCATTGCTAATGAGTTAGTTTTCACTTATTCTCATTGTCTATTTTCAATAGTGCTTCCACTAAATGTGAGAGCGGAAAGAGGGACAGAGACAGTAGTATTAACAACAATGCATTGCTTCCTTCGAGAGAAGTATGAAGATCTTGATGAACCTACTGACTCTGTAATCTTTTGTCCATCAACCCAAAACAAGATTGAAAGGTGGTGGCAGGAATTGCTGGAAAGAATGGAAAGGTTCTTCAAGAACCAGTTATCATCACTGGTTGAAAATGGAGATTATTATCCTGATGATGAAACTGACAGGTAAACCACAGTTGGTGTCATTCTTTGCCAAATTTTATAGTTTAATAATAATTTAAAATCATTTCATTCAAAATGCCTTATAATACAGTAAATTTATTAAAAGGCAATGAACTAAACTTTCAAATGTGTGTAGAAACCTTTTAGCCTATTTATATATCCCTCTTCCCTAAAAAGAGTTGGACACATTCAGTTTCAGTGTGGAATAATCACCGAATGCGAAAGCAACCAGACAAAGACCTGCCTACAGGTGTACCAAAACACATTTACCACTACCCAGATGAATATGGACGTGTGGGCTTCCCCTCACAGATGAGCAACTTCAAGAGGTAGCAGAATTATCAGGTGTTCTTGATGGAACTAGTGATTACTTAGACGAAGCATTAGGTAATGAATTTGAAAGACATATTCCTAACACTGATGATATTGAACCATCTCAAGCTGTTAACGCATACTTGTACTTAAAAGCCAATTTTGATGAAACCAGAATGTGAATAGTATACTTTCCATGTTTATTATTAAAAACATTAAAATTAACCATGTAACAGATCAATGAATTCTAAAATACTAATATGATTTTTTTCTCCTTTAATCCCTTAATTTTGCCTCCTTAGTAACAAAATAGTTAGTAACTAACTTCCTTAGTAACTCGATTAGTAACTATATATAAAACAATAGAAATCAAAACCATATGTATCAATTCTTGTGTTTTATGCCTCAAGTTCCTAAAAATCCGTCACTAAAATAGTCTAATCAGAGTCGAGAGATAAATTACAGTTAATTACAGTAAATTACAGTAAATTACAGTACTTGTTGCAACTGTGATTGGAAAGGAAGTTTCCAATGGCCTGAGTCGACAAGTTCCCAATACAGAAAAAGTTAACATTGGGGTCAGTTAGACCAGAGGATGCAATTTTCGGATTACACGGTTGATAGCTTACTTCTTGGATGTCTGTGACCATCAACTGCTTCTTAGATCGCACAAAAGTGTAATGAACAAATGATTCACAATTTCAGGTGCTTCTTCTTCAGGTTGTAAACATATCTCTCCATCGTTGTTTATAAACTTCTCAAATGTCCACTCGAGAAATGTTTCAAGAGTAACATATTCCTCTTCCAGCATGGAGTAGTACACCTTGGTATAATTGAACGTCGAGCCAAATTCTAAGGAAGGTACTTCCAAAGCCATGTTTTGGGCGAAGTTTCTTGGCAGAGCATTGAGCTGCACAGCTTTTCTCGTGTGTGCTTCGAGCGATTCGAACAATTCCGTGATTTCCTAACTGTTTTTCCTTTCAAATATTTCTTCAAAACGTATTTGCCAGCAGGAAGGCCACTCAATACATTCGCTAAGTAAGCTTCCCGAAATGATCCCTAGGCAAATGGTATTCTACGAAGGGAGGGTTTAAATGGCATTTACCATTCCATGTTAGATAACTATCGAAAACTCCTCCAAATGTAATGTTATTATGTCAGCATCCGGATTTATGACCTTCCCAATTTTCAGCATCTTTATACTAAGTGAAATAGACGGCGTTACAGACATATGCGATCGTACGCTTTCTGACCTGGACATTATATTCATGGGGATGCCTCCTTTCTTCGGACTATGTTTGGTAGGCTCGCTTTGACGTTTAACAGCAGGGACAAGGTTTTGAGCGCCTTTAATAAATCGCACGTGTATAACTTTCCAATTCTTTATTTGATTGAGCTCGTATACGATGGGCTACGTTCACCGGGGAGTACATCGCACTCTGATTCTGTATCAAAATGAATTTTACACGCGTCCTTGATGCTTTCTAATGTGGCTTCTTTGTCTTCCATTGGCACCCATGTCAATGGTCCAATTCGCGTGTACTTCTGACATTTGCCTTCGACATTGGCCGATAAACGCTTATACCGCCTTCGACATTGAACGATCGATTTTTCTCACGATGGGAGTTCTTTCCCTTCTTCTTTAAGATTTTTTTCTTATAATTATCCCAATTTTGGCGTTTCTTAGCGGACATATTTGCAAAATTACAAATATTTGCATAAGCGCTTGCTCGGTTTTTTACCCGCGGTTGGGAAATGTGACAAAACTCCATGATGCCCTCCCCCTTGGGCAAATTTGACCTCAAAAATCAATTGCTGACGTAAAATTGGGCCAACGAGTCTGATTTTTGGCTTTTTTCGCCCTAAATTTTTTTCGATATTTTCATTATTGCTAAATTTTATTGCCGGTGATGCTATAATTCATATCATTGTGCATGTTTACATAAAAAATCAGCAAAAATACTCTAAAGGCTCGATTTTGACGCTAAAGACATCAAAATAGCTGTAAAAATGAGAACTAGATCACTGTAACCCGTTTTAGTTTGCATTTTGGGCAATATTTTATAGATTTGGCCGCTTTGATGTAATATTGAATAATAAATAAGTCGCTGAATTTTAAAGTGAATATCATAGCGAATTGGCAACATGTCGATCTAAAAAAAACACGTGTCTACTGAGCACAATTTCCTCTTTAAAATGGTTCAACTTTTATTAAAATCGGTCAAGTATTCGCAAGTCCAAGTTATCGTTTTTGGAAAAATCAATTATTTTTCATCTGGTCTTTGTAAGTACAGTGATTGAAAATTTCCACAAATCTTTTTTCATGCAGGATGTCTCAAAACAATCGAGCTTTTAATAGCTTTAGCATCCCAAAGCAATGCTTATGTGTTGGAACGTACATGCAGTTAATTTTTGTTGCATACATGTTTTTATGGGTTAGGAAGTCGAATGACATGAAATTCAAAATTCTCAGTCCTTGAAGCTAACTAGACGAATTTAGTACGAAACGTCTCGTCAAAATAATTATGTCATTCTATAGATTTGCACTCATTGTACATAGCAAACACTTAAAATATGAATTTATAATTCCTTAAATGCAAAGAATAATGGACTCTTTGCGCGTCTAAAATATAAGACCCAGACTGACTTACTTTATATCCATTCGACATTGACTTGGAAATGACTTTGTACATCGTTTCGATTTTATCTGCATTGGCCAAGCTCGGCAATGTGTCCTTCACTGAATCCTAGGAAAATAAAATTGTACAAAATTGAGCGCATGACATTGTATGTTTAAGTGGAGGGTTATCCCTAATTCCCTTAAGGCAGCTCGATAAACTTTCATGCATCCTTGCTTTCATTATAGAGGGACGCTGATCAATATTTCCATACATTAGACAAACTGAACATGAATGAGAGTGTTGAGAAATTGTATACTTTTCTTGCGGAGTACCATTCAAATGCAGTATTGCCGTGAAATAGTACGAAATATTCACAAATGGATTGGGACCCCAAATACGAATTTGATCTAGGCCTAATGGTTTTCTATGCTATATAGGTTTAGCGAACTGAATATTTTATTTGTTAGTAAGGTCTGCAGACGTTGAACTTAAAGTTCATATGCATTCGATTCGGCACATGAAAAGTTCGAAGACTCTAATAAAATTTTGACGAAATAGCCTGACAGGTGGAGCTAGATGTCTAATTGACACTGTATCCTCCATTCCATCGGGAAATCGCACATGAGCATATTGCAGGGTCGCATACGTAGCTGTACAAAGCAGGGACCTTATGGAGTGTAGTGCATCCAACAGCACTTCTTGCCAACCAATAGTGACAGTCCTTTCGTCTTAAGTGCTAACGTAATGGCTTTCCATAATGTCCCATTCAGACGTTGAACCTGCCCATTACAAGGTGGATTGTAACTTGTTCTATAGCACAGTGTTGAGCGACATCTTATGACGGTTCGAACACTAAGTAAACATCTCACATGGAAATGCGAAGGGAAATCTAGAATACTCATCAATGACAGTTAACAGAAATCGACATCGATTATCACAGGGCACGGGAACTTAAAGTCTATGTTCAATCTTTCGAAAGGTTGAGTAGCTTTTATCAAGTGTGAATGCTCCGCAGAATAGTATTGTGGTTTACACTCTTGACATTCCCTACAAGCTAGTGTCATGCTCTTTACATCCTCTACTGAATAGGGTAGATTTCGACTTTAACGAAATGTGACCTATGAGTCACGCCCGGATAACACAATGATCTATACAGCTCATACAGCTTATCAACTGTAAGAGACATACTTTTCACTCTTGAAAGAGCGTCCGCTGGTATGCTCTCCTCCCCCGCTCGATATATATATGAAAGTTATACATCGACAATTCTATTCTCCAGCTCATTACTTTATCGTTCTTAATTTTGCTATGATGTTTGGTATCAAATATGTAGGCAACCGACTTTTTGTCTGTTATAAGCTTAAAACGCTTTCCGGTGAGATAATGCTTCCACTTATACGTACTGCTTCTACTATAGCTGCTGCTTCTTTCTCGATTGCAGAGTGTTTTAATTCCGGGCCGTTCAATGTTCTTGAGAAGATAGCTACTGGATGTCCTTGTTGGTTCAATATAGCAGAGAGCGTGTGGTCTGATGCGTCAGTTTCTACTTCAAAAGGGAGAATTTCGTCACTGGTTCCTACGACTGCATTTTCTATATCCTCCTTCATCGAACTAAATGCTGTATAAACTTCTTCTGGCAAAGGAAATACAGTATTTTGAGAGGGTCTAATCTTCTTTGAGAAATCTTTAACCCACTGAGAATAATATGAGAAAAGACCGACTACTCTTTTTTGCGACTTCGAATTTTCTTGTGGGGGTAACTCCCGCCAAGGTTTCAACCTTTCTAAATCTGGTCTAATTTCCCTCTTTGAAACCATGCTACCGAGAATACTTATAGTTCTTGTAGAGAACACACATTTATCTTCATTCAAGACCAAGTTTCTCCACTTATCTGCTTCAATAAATAAACTTTTCAAGGTTCTCATCGTGATGAGCCTGATCCATACCGCAAATCGTAATATTATCCAAATAGGCAATTATATCTTCTAAATTTTCCTCAGAAATGAAGTTGTCCATCGTTCGTTGAGAGGCCGCGTCACTACAACTTGTGCCCTCCGAGGGGAATCGCTTGTTTCAATTATACCCTCTTCGAGTAATTTATCAATTTCAGTCGAAATAAATTCCTTATTTTCCATGTAATACCTTCTTGATTTCGAAGCGATTGGTTTACATTCAGGTGCAAGAAACTAAAATAGTGGTGGGTGATCAGCACGCAAAGTAAATAGACCACATTTATATAATAACGTAAAGAATTCAAGCAATTTCATTGGTCGAGAGCCATGATCTATAAGAGGACAGACGCACGGAATAACGTCACAGCAATTTCCTTGTTTTTAAATTGCAAACAAATAATTCAATTAATTTTTTATTTTTTTCAGTTTCATTATATAGAACAAATAGATTACAATGAACCGTTGTCTGTTCAGTTATAGATACACGGTATGACGCCATATGTGATAAGAACAAAAGAGTGACCACTCGCCCCGGCGGTTCCTGGCCACTTTTTTTGTTCTTATCACATATGACGTCATACCGTGTATCTATCTATAACTGAACAGACAACGGTTCATTGTAATCTATTTGTTAAATATTCACTGGTAGAGCCGTCCCTCCGAAACATATTGTTATACTCTCATGCTGCTCTTGCCAATTCTGTCCTAGGATGACGTCGGTGCATAAGTTTAATAAAACATATAACTTAATATCCGTGTAGATTCTACCCTAAGTTTCTAATAAATTAGCACACGAGATAAGCTTTTTCTGCTTTGCTAGGCCTCAGAAGATGGCAACTACATGGTAATTTCTATTCCGGGAATACGCTGCTTTTTTAAAGAGTCAAATACCTTAGAGGGACAACTCTCCCCATATTCAAGTTGGCTCCTTAGGCGCTACTTATTCCTGATCTCAGGTACCAGCTAGGGACACCCTATACTCCGAATTAAGCCGATATAGGTAAATTTATGTTCATATTGTTGCACCTGAAATGCAAGTGTTTATATTGAGCACGCCTCCGCTATTAGAGTCACCCCCATTGGTGACAACAACTTTTATCCATGTAAAAACTTTGTCTAGGCCTCCAGGATTTTTCCTACCGGAGCGTGCGCCATAATAACGAACAGAACATTTATTAAGCAAACACTAGCGCTTGCTTTTATCATGCAATTTTATCATATAAAGTTGTCTCAG